TATATATTATTTATTATATATATATATATGTAATTATCTATGTATGTATGTATGTATGTATGTATGTATATTATATTTGCACGTATGTATGTATGGATGTATGTATGTATGTATTTTTGCATGTATGTATGTATATACGAGTTGATTATCTAATCGAGCTTGTATTGCACTTACACTGTAAACCACCCTTTCTTATTAACTCATTGCAATTATTAACTCCCCAACCCCCAACCTCCCTCTAAACATCTCCCAATCAGAATCGACTATTCATACTCTGAGGATGACATTCCCTACGAGGCCACGAGACTATCGCAAAACCAGCACTCGCAACCAACGTACGGCGCCAGATCGTAGCCACACCGAGATTTGCACAGTTAAGAATAAGCCTATGCTCACCGCCTTGATCGCCAACCCCGTTGTCCGATACAAGAAAAAAAGTACCGTGTGTATCGAAGGCTATTCTCGTGGCTGCAAGAAAGTTTGATCGTCCTAGCGACGGTTGCTAAGGACAGCTGTGGCAGGCATATACAATCGGCAATGTCCCCATACATACTAGAAGCGAACTGTAGCTTTAATGAGCACAGCAACAGCTCTAATTTAATCCGAATTAATTGGATAGTGCGTGGGCGCATCATCATGTAATAGTGGCAGGTATCCATTCCTAAGTGCCTCTGCCCCAAAAAAAGCCCAAAAACTGCCTGTCTGGGTACCTTTGTCGACATATTAATGTGTTCTACTCTTCACTCGAATCAACGTACGAGGTGGTTGAGTCGCCAATATAACTACTTGCTGCGGCCAGGTGCATCGGTGGCACTGAGTGCGACGGTACGTGTTTGCCGATCGCAGCTCACTTAGACCCTGTACTTGCGCTTGGTTGTCTAGTAGTTTGATCTTAATTGATACAGACCTTAAAGCGCCGAAACATATTTTTTGAGATTTTGATGCGTTGCTCAAAAATTTAGTGCTCTCTGCTAACAAGGGGTTTGGGGATGTTCGGTGTCACCTACAATCGATTCGAATGCGTTCTGAAATGGTATCGCGCTAAGGATGTTCCGAAGCACGTGCCATTGACTGTCCCTCTCGGACCTCTAGCACAAGTTGACCTACGTTTTGTATAAATACTACATGCAGATGAGGCTTTACCCATTTGCACCAACGTGCATTGGTCTGTGGCAGCAAGCGAGCTACTTTGGACGGGATATTCGCATTTTTTGCGATTTCCTTATTGACCTAAACCCAGAAACAGAGTCTGCTTGGGTTTTCTCACAAAGTACTGTAAGAAATCTCCGAATGCATAGTTGTTGAAGAGTACGCGACTTTCAGCAGAAACCCGACCGGCGAGAGGAGAGGGGAAGAATAAAAAATATCTTCATGCACAGCAGTCTTCATATTCGTTGGAAAGGTTCATTGAGGGGAAGTTAATAGTGATGTGGTTATAGACAATACAATATTGAATTGGTGAATATCTGGATTCTGAGTTGAAGATGATAGTGAATTCGCCTGGAGTATTGTAAAGCGAACAGCAAATTAAGCGATCAACATTTTTTCATAGTTTCCAATTTGGCAGTAAGAAACTTCTTTGTTGTGTGCAAAGTCTGTGGTACACACTCAACTGTAATCACCTTGAGAGAATAAATTCATAGCACCAATCTGTTTACAGGTAAGGCAGAACGATACGATTCCGCTGAGTCGCTGAAGGCAAGATGCTAATAATAAGCCCATGGTAACGCACCCAAAAACAATTTTCTTGATCGCCAATCTCTGAATAACAGTCAGTGTAGCAAATGCGTATATCGCTAAAACATTTCTGACGGCAAATGTGAACTGTAAAAGGATTCTCTTTGGAGCTTGGGGGGCTGACGCACGGAGCATGCAGTACTTGCCTCAAGAAGTTCAAGAAATGGAAAAAGTCTCACACTCTGCCAATGGGTTGTCGGGATTCATGGTATGAAAAAGTATGGTATTGGGAGGTAGTTTAAACGACAATAAAGTATTTTGGCACAAGTTCAGTCATACTCCTGAAAATGTGTAGAATCCTGTGCAAATATTCTTTGATTGGGTTCAAATTGCTTTAGTACATCAAGATGGATGTGCTGATTTGTGCATTGATATACTGTACAGCTGATGAGTAATTTTTTAGCTGCTATTTCTTTGGCGTTAAAAATACTACTTGTGCATTTATATGACTTCCGTTTTTTGCATCTGTATATACATTTGCTTTAATTGTACGTCTTCAGAACCGGGTTTATTCGCAGATCTGGATTGCTTTGCGAAGGTACTATCTGATTCTAGAATATCATTTGTTGCATCATTCAACATTTCTTTCCGTTCTGTGCTATATAAATTATTTAGGGTATCAACATGAAATGAGATCTTACGCTGCGACCATATAAGCTTGCGACCAATATCGAATTTCGTAAACGTGCTTTCGTATTCTCCAGTGTTATATATTGCAGGACTGACATGTAAACCGTTTATCTTGGATATTTTTCTAACAAATGTATCCTTGGTGATTGCTCTAGATGCTAATTCAAATAGAATTGGAGATTGATTAGTATGAAGATGATAGTGACCATGTAAGACACCCCTATTTTGGCTCATCTCTCCTCGTGAGGATAATACCTTGCCTGTGGTTCCATCAGGTTCTTATTCCGGAATGATTTTGCGTATTGAATACGGAACCTTTAAAACTGTTCCTGGAATATCTTAACAATATGTTCGTATATACCGGCCGCGGATACTGGATATTTTACATAAATGGTCAATCCGTCTATTCTTTTACCCATAGAGTACGCCTATGGATCAAGTCTTGTCCATTGCTCTAAAATCTTTACAGTGAATATTTTGTTCGACACATCCAATGAGTTTGTAACGAAGTGTGAGACTGGGCCATAAAGGTAACGTTTGAGTATGTATTTTATTCAGATATGTGGCTGATCTATATTTAGGCAATGGAGCACAACCATTTGTTACGTTGAGAGCAGGATTGAGAGCCCACTTCGGTGGTGTCTCATAAACTAAAATCGAAAATATAGCTTAAGTATGGCCTTAGCTTTTATGTATTTGAGATTCTTCGTTGCGTATTTCATCTCCTTATTTTATCTCTTGGTTTGTTAACCACATTCTTGATTGCCTGTAGCTTCTGTGGATCCTTACAGAAGGTCAAACTCGCAGAGAGGACGCATTCATGTGTACGAATTTGATCAGCGTTTATGTTTTAAGTCTAAAAGTCAGTGGCAACATCAAGTAATCTTTCAATTTTTGTGACAAGTCTCTTTGTTCCTCAACTCTTTCCTTTTTCGGAAGAGTAAAAAGAAACAACTATGCATCAACAAATCGGTGTATATATAATCAGTGAATGGATTGATTATGGGTTCGATCTGTAATATGGGATTTCCGTCAGCAGCTTCATCGCATGTGTTCTCATTTCTTGATTCCTCGAAAAAAAATTATGTGGCTTCCTCTTGTAAAAATGCCTTTTGAGTATGGGGGTTGTTATATTGTTGGTGTGTCCAACTGTTTGGCTATATTGTCGCTAGCAGATCTAAAAATATTGTTCGCCTTGCGTTCAGTTCTGGTATCGGCATTAGAGAGTATATGATCGGGAACCCCATCTAATTACTGTATTTGCTCCATGGGTGTGATATCATAGTATAGATGTCTGTTTAAGGAGATAGATACTGATATACTATTATTGGCCTCAACAAAGAATTTAGTATACTTTTCACACTGAGTACTACTGTTCATGTTTTTCTTTATATCTCAGACCTTCTCCATAATCAAATAATGCAAAACACTTGCAAAAGTAATATTTGGCAAAGTTTTTGCGAACTTGACTAATCCTCTTAATGATATCATATATCTCATACTTTTGTAGGCATGGCTTCCAAATGTGTATGGTGCAAACCGTACCTGTAAGACGTCTTGAATGAATCTGCTAGTTGCATCAGTATGAACTCCTTATGCGTATGTTGTGTTCTATATGGTACTAGATCGCTACCAACAAATCTTATGCACAGTGAATACTGATATGGTTCATCTTTTTGAATTCAAAATCACAGTGTTCACAAATATCAAAATCATTTCCATCTCGAATTAGATATTTATGGAGTTAGTAGATGCGACCACCTGTAACGAAATCACTGCTGACAAGATGATTGACTCTGTTGATACTTTCGTGCACAAATAATCGCAGATATTAATATGGTCTTTGTAACATGTTTCACACGGGGTGTTTGTAAACGTGCATGTCTACACGAGGCACAACTTTTACACTTAACTTTGGGAGGATCCAAAATATAATTATACAGCCCCTCAAACACATACTAACAGTTGCCTCGCTGATTAGTCCAGGTGTGAATAGTCGTTCAATCTCTCCAACCGTCGTTTTTTATCGAGAACGTGCATACTTTATATTCTGTAATTATCGCAATCTAGCTAGAGTTTTTGGTTGGTCATTTTTAGTATCTTAAACTGTCGTTTACATACATATGCTTTTGTAACTTTAGTTTCACTTATTCATATGATATGGCGTTATCTTCAAATTCGTGTACTAAAATATCCACTTGATATTTTGTGTATAGGCACCTATTTTACAAACCGTGTATATTGTATGATCGCTCACACTGTTCTGTGCGCTTGATTATTGTATTAAGCTACAGTATTCTCCTAGTTCGTATAAACTTTCGATCATATTCAAATATGATAGTGTGCTATACGTGGAATCACATGCATCACTTATATATATATAT